AGGGGAGCCATTTGACTGCATGGGTCTGCTGTATATTTACGAAGAGCACTAAGAAGATGTTACTAATTGATTTATAATCTAATATAAGCAAAGAAATCTGGACAACATTCAACAGCCATTAAATTAAATCAGTGCTGGCTATGGGCCATATGCCTTTGCATGCAGGGTATTTCTGATTCTGAGATTTGCAAGGAACAATTCTCATTTTCCACTGCTGGTTTGGCTCTATCTTGCGAAAAATTAGAGTAGATGAAATGCACAGGCTCTTTTCAAAGCAAGCTGTTGTTATACTAATGACATGCATTTAGGTTTACTAAAAACAAAGGCCATAAAACAAAACTGAGCTGAAGAGGGGCCCTGTACTCTAATGGAATAAAGATATCTAGCACTTTATATTTTTCATCCACACCTTACATTCTCTCCAAATTACAGATGAGGCAAGGAATTCTGCCCAAACAACAAGCCAGTAGCAGGGCCAGGAATAGAACCTGGATCTCTTGACTGTCAGACAGCTGCGCCCACTATTCTGGACCATAGTTGGCTGCAGAGTAAAACTATTGCCAGTGTGTGCCTTAAGCAGGTCCCTATAAAAAAGGAGCAGTGAGGGTATGGCAGGGGGTTAATGGGGAAGATGAAGCAAAGTGAGGTCACTGACTGAGCTCCAATCCAAACAAAGAGACATGTCAGGCCAGACTATGACCAGCCCCTGTGTCAGTGAGCAATGAGACACATGCATCCTCCCCACGCCCTTGTGCCACCCACGTAGAAGTTGCAGACCCCAAGCAGAAGAACTGTTGTAATTTAACTTTGGTAGCTGGCTGTGGAGGAACACTGGGAGGTCCTTGCTGTGAGGAACCATGCTTCTCAGAGCTCCCCCTGGAATGATGAGCCCTACCCTCAATGGAAAGCTCTTGCTGAATGCCACTATTTAGTTTTTACATTTCACTATTCATATTTGTACTGCAATTTGTGTCACCTAATAGAGACACACTCCTCCTGCACCAGGACGTAGCTGCATAACCCTTTGTTCTAATCCTCAGTTTACTTTTAAACAACTCGAGACACATTTTTATTCACAGAAAATATACAAATTGAATGGGAGTTTGGTTAAAGCTTTGGGAATCAACAGGTCTCTGGCTTTTCCTGGTTTGTAGGCTGGTGTTCCAACAGCCTTTGCTGTGGGAATTCTCCAAGAGGCAATCACCTCCTTTGGCTCTCTGAGGAGGAGCTATTCAGCATAAAGCAGCATTCCCCAATGCACAGTCCACAATCACAGGCCGGTCTCCACAACGCTGCACATCTGTGTGTTAGACAGTCTTTCATGGTGCCCACATATCAAAGACCGCACTTATTGCTCCTCTTGAGTGTATACAACAACTAACTGTACCAGGCCTGTGATGTAATGAGCACAAGTGTTCTGCCAAAGAACTGGGGAGTTACAGTTCACATTGTGTACATTATATAGAACAATACAACACAACAAAATGCAGTGTGAGAAAACCACATTTGGATCTGTTTGGCCCCAAAGGCAGCTCAGTACCAACACTATTTGTGTTGAGTCAGCCCTGGAGAGGAGGCTAAAATAGAGCTCTGGGTCTGAACCCCCTCCCCCAAAGTTTGGGGGAATTCCACTCCAGCCTGTGTGTCATGGCTTCGGCCTCATTCTAATCAATGCATTTCAAAAAAAACATTTAAAGTCTGAGAGTGGTAACAGTACATTCACCTGTTAGTGCCATGCCCCATTTTCAGTCCCTTTAAGCCTTCCAGCATGGCTTTCTGCAGGAAAGGAGAAGAGGGGGAGAGAGCTGAAGTGTCGCATCCTCGTGAGCCGTGTTGTTCTAAGTACCTTGGAAGAGAAGGATTATGGCACAACAAGGCCCAGATCCACCAAAACTTTCATGGCACCTGAACAACCTTTCCTCCTAATCATCCCCACTTCCAACCCTACCTCCTCTGAACATTCTCCCCCCATTCTGTCATATAACCTCCTCCCCAGGTGGACACGCCAATTTCCCCCATTCTTGAGTCTTCAACTGAGACACGCTCAGCCATTTTGACCCCCACCTGTGCAGACAACTGGTCAAAATTAGCCACTGCTTTCTGCTCTGCTTTCTCTAACTGCAGGGCCTGGATCTTAAGGATTGTGCCTTTGTTCATCCACACGCCATCCCCAGGACCATCCAGTGTTTGGGTATCAGGAGATGTCATAGAATCATAGAATATCAGGGTTGGAAGGGACCTCAGGAGGTCATCTAGTCCAACCCCCTGCTCAAAGCAGGACCAATCCCCAATTAAATCATCCCAGCCAGGGCTTTGTCAAGCCTGACCTTAAAAAATCTAAGGAAGGAGATTCCACCACCTCCCTAGGTAACACTTTATTCCAGTGTTTCACCACCCTCCTAGTGAAAATTTTTTTCCTAATATCCAACCTAAACCTCCCCCACTGCAACTTGAGACCATTACTCCTTGTTCTGTCATCAGCTACCACTGAGAACAGTCTAGATCCATCCTCTTTGGAACCCCTTTTCAGGTAGTTGAAAGCAGCTATCAAATCCCCCCTCATTCTTCTCTTCCGCAGACTAAACAATCCCAGTTCCCTCAGCCTCTCCTCATAAGTCATGTGTTCCAGTGCCCTAGTCATTTTTCATGTCTAGTCCCCATTCACTACCTTTGCCAATAGCTACCATTTGTTTTCATTACTATATAGACCACGCATGATTTCGTTAGTGCTCTTCCCTATTGACAGATCTGTTCCTGAGGTCAGTCAGGAAACACCAGTTGCCTTTCCATCTCCACTACCAACACTAGTGAATAATAAATTATTGTAATAATATGCACTTCTACAGAGTATCATAAACCTGAATTAAGCCTCACCGCAACTCTATGAGGAAGGATTATTATTCCCATTTCATAGACAGGGAAACTGAGGCACAGAGTGGTTAAGTGACACACCCAAAGCCATGAAGAAAACAAGTGTCTGAGCAGGGATTGGAATTCAGGAGTTCCTGGCTCCCAGATCTGTGCTCAGATCAACCCCCTCCCTTCTATCTTTAATGTCTTTCCAAGCAAGCCAAATGCCAGCATAGACCAGACACTGCACTTGTCCTTCCTCATCATTCTTCAGAGGTAAATTGCTAGCTGCGTGTAGTCAGTCAACCTAGGCTGGAGTCAGGAATGCAGATCTGTAAAAGCAGAGCAGTAAGTGAAATCGCCTGCTGTCAAAGATTACCCAATAACGATCAAAACAGAAATCAGCAGTGTGCTCTAAAAGGAAGGCACCTCACATTGTTAGCATTCCAACCAATGTTTGGTCGTGTGAAATAAATGGCTTAGAAAAGTGTTGCCTCTTATTATCTTAAAGTTATTGGTAAAAATATTAGAGTAAATTGGTGCTCAAGAAAATTCTTACGGTTCACACCTATGTGCTTGAAATAGTTAGGATTCCTTCTCCCCCAGTAAAATAATTCCATTTAATTCTCCATGTTTTGTTTAATGTATACCAGCCATAAGAGAAAAAAACCCAAAACTATTTGATTTCCTTGAGTACTTCAAAAAGGCATTTCCTTTGTACTGGAGTCTCAGGAACATGAAGAAACGTGTTGCTACCAATGGGTACATTAATAAAACATGAAGGGCCAACACGCTCTAATCTTCCCTCAGTAAAAACTTCCATTGATTTCAATCCGGATTTTGCCTTAGCACACTAAGAACTGCAGCATTAGGCCCTCAGGGAATTTTTAGACACACACACAGGAGGAGAGATTCTTCTGTTACTGACACAGGGACGAACTGGAAATGACTTTGCTGAAATCAGCGGAGTTATTTTGGGGTGAAAGAAAACAACCCAGCTCAAGGTCTTTATCTCCAGCACCATCCAAAGTTCATTTCAGTCAGTGGGAGCCATTAACTGAAGTTTCAGAGTAACAGCCATGTTAGTCTGTATTCGCAAAAAGAAAAGGAGTACTTGTGGCACCTTAGAGACTAACCAATTTATTTGAGCATGAGCTTTCGAGCTGTAGCTCACGAAAGCTCATGCTCAAATAAATCGGTTAGTCTCTAAGGTGCCACAAGTACTCCTTTTCTTTTTATTAACTGAAGTTAACTTCAAATTAACTTTGGATCAGACGCTCAGTCACTAAGGGTATGTCTACATTGCAGAAAAGGTGTGTTCTTAATTCTGGTTAAAACAGGTGTGAAGACACAGCAACTTGGCTTTTAACTCAGGTTAGCAGCTCAAGTTCAAGACAATAATGGAGCTGGGATTGAACTCGAGCTGCTAACCTAAATTAAAAGCAGAGTTGCCATGTCTTCACTACCATTTTAACGCAAGGTAGGTAATTTGAGTGAAGTACACACTACTGCATTTGCTAACATCAGAGCTATTCCCTTTTCTCGTTCCAAGATTTGGTCTACACAGTTTTTGAATTGATTCAACTATTTCAGATAACGATGTGATTTAACAATATAGTTAAATCAGTTCAGCCTCCAGCGAGGATGCAATTAGAGCTTAATCCTGCACCATTTAAATCAATGAGAGCTATAACATTGACTTCTACGGGCCCAAGTTCATGCCCTTACTCTGTTCTAAATGTGCTTCTACTGGTATAGTTTTTAAACGATACCCGTATAAGCACTTTTATAATGGTATAACTATGTCCACATTAGTGTGTTGTATCACCTTAACAATACTGATTTCTACATTTTCCAGACATAGAAAAGATTATTGATAATTATGCTGACTCAAGCTATCATTTGGAATGTTAATGCAAGGAATGAATGGTACTATAAATAAATACCCCCTGCACAGGGAGTCTGACACTTGGGTTTTGATCATTATAACACAGCATCAGAACGATACTGAGCAGTACAGACCAACTACAGAGTAGAATTACTCTCCCTGAATCACGAAGAAAATCCTTCAGAATCACTGGGAAAACTGAATAAAAACATAACAGGGAATAGATATTTGCAGACACACAGGGAGGAAGAAAAAGCCAGTGTTTGCACATACTTTTTTGTTTATTGTACAATATTTCATTTAAAGTACAAAGGCATCATCAGTATTCACTGGAATTTACTGTATTTGTAACGGGTACATTATACTGTGTGTTAAAAAAAACTTCCATTTTAAGGATGCAAGTCAGAACACAAATTAATTGGAATAAAGAAAAGAATGTTTTTTTTAAAAAATCAATGTAAAAATACATTTTTTTAGTAACCGATCTGTACAAAAAAAACATGGATAGTGGGGATTAGAGCCCCCTCATGTCATTTAAAGCTATATACAAATGCACCATTTACCTTGTAATTCGAACCTTTGGGCTTCATTTCCTTCATACTGATGAATTTAGAAAAACATTGTTACTAAAATGATCAAATTCCAAAAGAAGTATTTACAGAGAAAGGCAAACAACCTTCCCTCCACCCCCAATCTTACAAAAGAGAAACATCTGTGTGCTTGGAATGCACAGAGTCTCTCCCTGTCCCTGCCGTTTCCATCCTAACTTTGCCAAAGGAGTGACCTTGAGTGGGGGAGAAGTCTATGGTAATGCATTCAGAGAAGCTATCAGAGTCACTTTAACAGTGGGAAAGTGTCTCTTCCACACTCCCATAATCATGGGAGCTGGAAAAAAAGAATAACTAAACAACCACCAGCTAACGTGGAACTACCAAGAGCATCATGAATGCAAGAGGTTAGGGTGGATAATCAGCAAGAAATAAATGGGGCATGGCCTGGTCTGATTTGCTAGAGGTGTCTTTTAAGGCAAAAGTGGGGGTTTCATACTTTAAAATATCAGGCACTCATGATGTGTTTTTTTTAAATCCTCCACTGTGGAGCTTGGCAATGGTGTGTAACAGTACAAACAAACCCAAAGCACCCAAGTCCACCAGTAAAAGCATAAAGAAAAGGAGTACTTGTGGCACCTTAGAGACTAACCAATTTATTTGAGCATAAGCTTTCGTGAGCTACAGCTTATGCTCAAATAAATTGGTTAGTCTCTAAGGTGCCACAAGTCCTCCTTTTCTTTTTGCGAATACAGACTAACATGGCTGTTACTCTGAAACCAGTAAAAGCATGTGATGATGAAGGCTCTGGGGAGTCTCATGGTTGCTTATACATGAGCACTCTTAGCATGGGTAGGAGAGCTGGATCCCGATGCGTAGTAGAAACGGTTTTCACCAAACGACTGAGCATCTCCTGAGCAACAGACGATGACGCAGCCACCAAAGAGGCAAAGGGCAGATCCAATCCAGCCTGTGTAAAGGGAGTATCCAAAACTCACAATTGTGGTCTCACGGTGAGCAGACACAGGGAACCAGATAGTAGCAACGATACCACACAATGCTGGGGAGACATTAAAAACAACAGTAACTGCAGCACATCAATCCAATCCAATCATAGATGTAGTCATGTGAGCTACGTTAAATAAATGTGAGGCACAGGCTTCTGCCGCTAGCCTGATCACAAGACAGACTGAGCAAATGCAATTCCCACCAAAGTCAATAAAAATTGCAAGCTACTTAGCACCTCAAGAACTGGGTCTTGATCCTGCATGGCACCTCCTGGGAGACAGCAAGTGCCCTTAAGCTCCCACTGACATGACTGCCCTTCCAGGAGGGCAATGGGCACCTCACCGCAAATTTGGAAGGATTCTGTTTTCAATCCTTTAGGAACCTGGCAGATCACAGTAGCTTTTATTGCTGGAGACCTTGAACCATTGGCACATTTTTATAGGACACTTAAGACCTCAGGGTCACTCACCATTGTTTAACAATCAACATTCAGTGAATGTCAAGATGTGCAACAGATTCAGGAATAAACTTACAGATCACAATATTTCACAATATTCACTTCTTAATATTTCGGTTTTAGGCAGGATGGGATAGCAAATTCCTTTTCAGGTCCTCACTCTCTCTTCCTCTCAGTTAATGCTGCTTCTATTTTCATGGTTAACAATGAAATTCATGTTTCAGAGTAGCAGCCGTGTTAGTCTGTATCCGCAAAAAGAACAGGAGTACTTGTGGCACCTTAGAGAATAAATTTCTTAGTCTGTAAGGTGCCACAAGTACTAATGAAATTCAGGTTATGATGCAGTTTTGAGGGGGTGGGGAGGAGGAGAAAAATTACCAATATTTATCAGTTCAAATTTAACCCTTTCAAGCCTATCTACAAACCATTCAGTGTTACTAATGAAAGTCACTTGCCAGTAAGTTTAAAAGCACAATAACAGAGGAAGAAACAGTGGGTATGAAATCCTGACCCCACAGAAGTCAATGACTTCTGACTTCAATGACTTCTTGCAATTGACTCCAATAACCCTAAAGATAAGCAGTGAACTACCCATTCTTCCAAGTTAACTTTTGGGTTGGCGGGGGCAGGGGAGAGTGGGTATACTTTGAATGGCTTTGAGGCCTTACTTTGTTACTTTTAGTGCCGAAGAAAACAAATAAAGGCACTGGCATCTGACTGGTAAAATGGCTTCAAAATTCATAATATCAACAGACAATCCAACCAGAACTCAATATAGCAAAACACTTGCAGCCGGACTCTCATTGCCCAGCAGCTCATGTAGTCATTTACACCAGAGCAAAGTGCTACCAGATCAGAACACCACCCACTTTACACGGATGTAAATGAATACACAACATGCAGGGCTACAGACAATCCCAACCCTAGTGTCTCCACAGATTTGACAACACTACTGACATAAAAACCATCCTCCCAAAATACAGCCAGTTGGGTGAGGCACATGATGAAGCTATGAATTATGCAGGGAGTTTCCAATTGGTGAGGATCATCGCTAGTAAATAAGTATCATTTTCTAAACTATTATCCATATCAACAAATAAAGAGTAACTACCCTGAATATTTTACAGTTAGTGCACATAGAATACATTTGTGCGTAGACTCCGTGGGCTATTGACAAAGTAGGCAAATTAATTCTCCCTCTGCTTCCCTCCGTTTATATACCCCACGCTAAGGCTATATTTAAGATTTTAAAGATCACCCTCAATAGTTCAGTTACTTTCCAAGGTCTAGCTCCCAATGAAGTCCATGGAAAAACTCCCATTGACTTCAGTGAGAGCAGGATCACATAGAATGCAAAATGACGCGATTGTGATATAAACAGATGTTAAAAATCATTCCTACCGATTTGAAAAGAAGCTAAATGTGCCCTTTTCATAAACACATCACAGAAGTTAGAGTATGCGGATACTTCATAGTCCTTTTATATTGCACAGTAGAAGGAATATTTTGCACTTGCATAACAGAGACCAGAGTCTTGCCCTGTCTGTGTATTAAATGTGTGGAGTTTAGATATGACAGGCGTAACCTATTTTCCCTTGAGAAAACAGTAGCATGCCCTCTCTCCCCCCCCACTTTGTCCTTCAGGCCCACTGTGGGTTCTCATGAACCTTATCTTCAGTATTTGAACTGAGTAACCTGCAGAAGGGGTGGGAACCTGAACGTGGGAGGATAAAAGCCTTACAGGAGAGATCTGAGCAGTGTGGAAGAGAGAAAGTAGGAATATCCTCACAGGCATTTAAAGGACACCAAAAAGACACTTGCCATTTGGTGCAATCTGATGCATTCCAAAGGCAACATAATTAGAACTGGAAGGATTAGGTATTTATCAATAAATGTCAATTTCACCATAAATACACAAATTGAGGAAAAGTAAGAAAAACACTGCTTGAGAACATATTAGAGTTTGATTTAAGGATATTTACTTTGTATATTTCGATCTGATGTTGACAGTTTGTGTTTTAACAGTTATAAAGCTTTAACTTTTTGAATCTCAAGCTCTATTGCTATTAAATAATTATTGGTTTCAGAGTAGCAGCTGTGTTAGTCTGTATTCGCAAAAAGAAAAGGAGTACTTGTGGCACCTTAGAGACAAACAAATTTATTTGAGCATAAGCTTTTGTGAGCTACAGCTCACTTCATATTGTCTGACCACACATTGTCTGAGCCTCCCATAATTTCCCGCAACTGTGAACATTTAAATAAATAAAAATTGAAAAATGCTTAAAACACATAATTTTTCAGCTACTGGGAAAATTTAAATAGAAAAGAATGTTTAAAAATAAACATTGATATATCCATTAAAATGATTTAAAATAAAAATTAAATTCTGCAAAGCCTAAGTATAGTTATGGCCCAAGGATAAAAGTCATCCCTGGAATGGATGATTTGAAGGTATTCAGAAATAAGGAAAATTCCATAGGAGGGCAGAGAAAACACATCTCCAGTTCAAACATAAAAGCAATATCTATTGGCAAGCAAGTAAAATGTATGTGTCAGATCTTCAGCTGAAATAAATCAACATAGCTCCACTGATTTATGAGCCAAATTCTCAGCTGGTGTAAATCCATATAACTTAACTGACTTCAGTTCACATGAAAACTATATGCCTCCGACCCATAAGAAAATAACCCTAACAAAACTCTCGCCTTTTATTCCTATTCCTTAATTATAAGCTATGTAGGTTAGGCCTGATTCTTTTCTTGTTTGTACCAGGAGCAATTTCAGGGAAGTCAATCGAGTCACCCCAGAGTAAGTGAGCAGAGACTCAGGCCCCTTTCTCATTATAATACTCCTCCTTGAAAGGTCCCACATGGACAGGAATATATGCATTTCGGAAGTGCCTCACCAATCAGGGCACCATATAACATAACATAATATAGGCAAATTAAGAACACTCTCAGAAAAATTAGAATCAGCAACAAGAAGGAATCAGCTGCAAGGGAAAAAGTCCAAAAAAGGAATGGAGATGGGAAAGGTAAAAGGAGAGATGGACAACAATATTCAGGTTAAAAAATAGCACAAGGGGGAAAAAGCTCAGCCTTTTTTTTTTAAGGGGTCAGAGAAAGGGGAGACAGATTTTAACTGTGGAGCAAATTCCACTTCCCTGTGGGAGAAGAGCTATAGAATTTAGTAGGGACAGAACCAACAGGGGTCTACAGAAGTTACTCTAAAAACCTATAGAATTAAACAGAAAATTAGATCCTTTTTCTGGGCTTTTGAACTATCCAGTAGGATTCTATAACAAGGATTGAAATCTATTACATTCTACTGCATGGTCAAAAGAATCTACTCCAAAGGGGTTTTTTAAAATTAAGTTCTATAGAACTTCTTCATAAAGTTGCAGGAATGGTACAATGGCTTTCCAGTCTACAGCGTGATTGTGATGCTATGAAGCAGTTGGCGTGTGAACACAGATGTCCCTAGGTTATAGAGGAAGTTTCACATACAGCCAGAAGCCACACCCTTAAGGGCATTAAAAGCCAGAAGTGACCAACTGAAAAACAATGCAGCACTTTATAGGCAACCAGGGTCAAAAAATACCATTTGGCATAATATGATCATGGCTGCTGAAAGCAGTGAGAAAACATGCCCCTGCATTCTGAACATGCTCATTGCTATATGAGTTCATAATAATCACCCTCACTAAGGGTCTATCATTGATCCTGCAAACACTGAGTGCTCTTAACACCCACTGAAGGCAATAGGAGTTGATGATACTAGGCACTCTCAGGATTGGGCCCTAAAACAATAATTCTTTATGGCTCATACATCTGAGAAGAATCAATCTGCCAATGTTTTATTTCCTGCAAGAGCAAGCTGTGCTGGACTCCGTCCTTGTGGCTATCAGGGAATCAGAGCGAAACAATAACAAGACTATGGCAGAGTTACAGATTTCCACCAACCGTGTTAAAAGATATCTTGAGGTTGTGTCAAAAATTAAAGTTGCAAGGGGAAAGATGTGGGGAAAGAAAAAGGAAAACTGTTTGGTTAAAGCAGAGAACTAGTGAGAGACTCTGTCCAGGAAAGCAGAGATTGCAACCCCAATGGCTGCCGTTATTATTAGAGAAAATATTTGTTTATGGAAAAGAGAGGAACATTTGAAGAATGCTAATAAAGCCAATAATAATTTTGAGCCTCCCGAAAGAGAAAGACCAAGGGGATTTTAAAGGATATTTGGGGGGGTGGGGAGGATTTGAATTTGTCCTGCATGTAGGTCAGCTTTATCTGATTCTTACAAACAAGAAAATCCATGAGCTTCTAATGTTTTCAAACATGAATGTATCAACTGAGAATCTGCAAAGCCATCTGATGGCTCATGTAAAAAGCTTCTTTGTTGCCCACGAAGGGTACAATCATCTTTTCTTTTCTGTCGGCACTGGGTAAAAAAAATATATTTATATCCATAGACTGTAAGAGCCTTATCCTTCCAGACCTCTCCCCCACAACACAGGACAGAAGAAAACACTTGCTCTGATATGAGAAGAGCTCTCAGGGTCATTGAAACAATAACATCTCTTGTATATGTGGATAAACTA